GCTGCAGGACCCAGCCCTGTGTCCAGCCGGCACGGAGCACCTGCAGGCCAGCAAGTGCATGCTGCTGCTGCCCGAGGTGAGAGGCCCAGGGCCACCCGCCCCAGGTCCTGTTCCTGGAGCGAGCCCCACAAGGTGGACAGGTACCCTTGTTGGGGGGGTGGGGGAGTGCATCATAGGGGATCCTTTCATTGCCACCGCCATTCCTAACCAGCCGGCCACCGGATGTAGCACGTTCTCTGTGGAGCCTACTGGGTGTAGAGCATCCTGTGTGTAGGGGGGTCATGGGGGGATTGAGGAGTACCCTACTGTTTAAGTTGGAGGTCAGTTGTTGGGTTAGTGCTAGGTTTTCCACTGTACTAGTTAGTCTGTACTATTTGTTACTACTAGTGATTCCACTGTATTAGTTGTTCTACTGTGTAGTTAGTTGTTGGTACTAGTTATTCCACTAATACTAGTTGTTCCAATGTACTGGTTAGTTGTTAGTGCTAGTTAGTTAAGGCTAGTTATCCCATTGTATTAGTTTGTGTTGGTTGTCTTGTTGTCCTAGTCCAATGTGCTAGTTAGTTGGTGCTAACGTGCTAGTTGTTCTCTGTACTAGTGAGTTGTCTGCACCATGTAGTGGCTCCACGGTGTGAGTCCCCACAGCTGCTGAGGACTTGTGGCTGTAGGACCGTGGTGGGCACCCAAGGGAGCTGCCCAGGCTCGGCAAAGCAGAGGCTGGACCCCGGGCACAGAGAGGGGAGGGCTCCCCAAATCCGAGGGGGTGGGGACTCCAAGGTGTGAGCCAAGACTCTCCCCAGGAGGGCTGGGGTCACAGGGCTTCCTGCAGCTTCCAGAGACCCGGATCCTGCCTGGGGGATCCTCCACCCCAACTCCCAGGCCAGCTGGCAGGCTCACCGCCCGAGAGGGTGGGGCTGACGTCATGTTGGGATTGGCCCCCAGGATAGGTGACCTGGCACTGCCCTGGGTTGCCCTCCTGGGTCCCCCTCCAGGCACTGATGCTGGCTGCCGGTGCCCCCACAGGGAACTGGGGGCTCCTTCAGCATCGACAGCGAGGAGTACGAGGCAATGCCCGTGGAGGTGACGCTGCTGCCCCGGAAGCTGCTCTTCTTCTGTGACCCCAAGAAGCGGGAGCAGGTGCTGCAGGCCCCGGCCCAGGAAGTGGCGGAGCCGCAGGGGCCTGAGGTAGCGGCCTTGTAGGACAGGCCCCTGGGAGCTGGATAGCTGCCCCATAGAATCGCCAGACCCCACTCTGCACAGGGCCCTCTTCTCATGTGACCACTGTCATTCCTCAACATGGACCATCTACCTGCCCCCCTTCCAGAAGGTTCCCACCCCCCAGGAAGGAAGGGCCAAGCCGTCCAGGAACCCAGGCTGTGCCAGCACTGGAACCAGGGGTGGGGGCACTTCCCCCTCCTCCCCACCGGCCTTCAGCTCACTTCAGTTCTGCCCGCAGTCAGACATGCATGCAGAGGCCACCTCCCACCTCCTCAGCCAGGCCCAAGGGTGGGGTGGGGGGTGGTTTCCACCAAGGCCAGGACCCAGCTGGCTGGCGGGGGGCTCCAGAGAGCTGACTTCTCATCTGGGTGGGGTCAAGAACTCTGCATTTTTACAAAGCAGGTGGCTCCCCCTTACACGCCCTTGAAGAAACAGTATTTTAAAGCCGTCCCCCAGAAACAACGTCTCATGTTCCCACAGAGGTGTTTGGAAGAATCATGTGCCCTCCCCTTGAAGCTGATGTTAAATATGCCCATGGTGAGTCGGTGCTTTGTGAGCAGGTTCTTTCATGCGGGGCATTTCTGTTGACGCTGCAATGGGTGTGGTCACGGCGGGCCTGCTGGAAGAAGAGGGCAGACACGGTGTTGGGGTGATAAGGATTTGGATAGTGTCCACTGAGCCCATGGTGATTGGGTGGGTGGGGTGGGACTCATTCAGGTCAGCACTGGTGAGTGGGCGGGGTGCACAGGTGCATGGGAGCAGGTGAACACAGACAGGAGGTGGAAGCAGTTGGGCATATGGCCGGGACAGACTCTGCCTTCAGAGGGCCACCCCTTCCCTCCTGTGCCCCCAGAACCCCGGTCACCCACCTCCAGAACCTGTCCACCATGAGCTATGCCCTAACCTGCCTGGGAGGGGCATCAGACGCGGTGGCCCCAAGAGCAAACCATAGCCGGCAAGTGGATCCGGGCTGGAGCGACCCTGTGGGCAGGGCAGAAAGGCCTCTAGGGCTTGGGTGTCCACAGGCCTGTCTTTCTCCCCGTGTCTGGAGCATCTTGAGTGCTTTAGCCTCTGTGCCACCAGGGAGCCTCATGCTTGGTAGAGAGACTTGCTCCTCGAGCGAGATGAGTTGACACAAGGGTCACGAAGACATAATGGGGCCACTGTGCTCCCAGGCCAGCTCGGCCTCACACCACCACCAGCCTCCACCTTGTCCTGTGGGGAACAGAGGTCAGAAGGGGCCAGGGCCCAGGACCCATTGACCCATCTAAAGGGCTCCTGAACTTTCCATCCCACCCAGGGGCCCCGCTGAAGACTCCCTGCAGGCAGGCGGGTGGCACCAACGCCAGCCCTCGTTTCTGTCCATGATGCCAGGCTGTTCCCAGGCACGCAGTGAAGGTAGCTCACACCCGCACCCCTGAGAGGGAAAAGCAGTGCTGTAAATGGGAGGCCCAGGGTCCCCATATACAGGTCCCTCACCTTACTGCCAGAGGGAGTCTTGACTCAGGGGTCCTGGAGGGGAGGGCTGTGCTGTGGAAGCCTCTCCCGGACCTTGCAGCTCCTGGTTCTGCCCCTGCATGTGAAGCCCAACACGGCCCTTCCTGCCCTGAGGGGCCTCCAGTGTGGTCATGATTGCACCTTCCAGTGGACTGGCCGGCTAGGGGGCTGGAGGGCATGTTTCTGAGTTTGCCTGGGAGGTAGACTACGTGAGAGTGGCCCTCTGTGCAGCCACGTGACTCCAACTCCTCATGACACCATGCCCTACAGAGCGAGACGCTGCCTGGTCCTGCCCCGTTCTATCCCCACAGTTGTGGCTTGAGCCCTTGTTGCAGCCTCTGTCAGTCTATCTCCTGAGAACTTTCCTCTTCCTCTCTGACCCGTGTGGCAGCCTTTTCCAGACTGATGCTTCCAGAGTGCGTGAGACAAAGGTCCACCATCCCTTCCCCCAATATCCCAGACTTGGGACCTTTCTCAGTCAAGCTTGAGAGCCGAGTGCCTTGGATAGACCTCCTGGCAGATCAGTGCCACTCGAAGGTTAAGATGATGCCTATATGGCCATCGGCCATCGGTAGACAGCCTGGCTGTGGACCAGGGCAGCTGATCCCAGCACCTACACGGGTAGTCGTGTACTCTGACAAGCAGCTCCCCTAGTGGTCGTCAGGATCAAGGCTACGTGGCGGTCAGTCTAAGACGCTAAGTTACTGCTTCTCAGCAGAGCCTCCCTGTAGGTCTACTCACTTCTGAAGGCGGCCTCTCCATCTCTCCAGCCAGCTTCCAGCAGAGGGGCCCCGGTGGGGAGTGGATATGCAGCGGGCCGTTCACTGCAAAGTCAGCAGTTCAAACCTGCCAGCTGCTCCACAGGAGAACAACGAGGCTTTCTGCTCCCATAGAGCGATCGCCTCAGAACCCGCAGCGTAGTTCTACCGTCCTGTAGGGTGGCTGTGAGTCAGCGTCCGCTCCGTGGCAGGGAGTCACATCGGCAGTGTGGCACCAGGGCCTCCTTTTCTAGGCTCTTAGAGTTTGGCAACAAAAACCTGCAGGGTAAGCTCAGGGCTGGAGGGTGGACGGGGCCCTGTTCCCACGGCCTTGGTGGGGTATAAGGTACCAGCACAGGAGCAGCACCTACCCCCGAGAGCCCACCCACCGGCTCACCCAACCGTGGCCCCCGCCTCCGTCCTTGCTCCCGCCACGGGCCTTGTTTAGATGTCAAGACAAAGAACTGCCAGACAGGCGCTCTTGTTAAAATGTGAGCTTTAATTGTAAAAATGGCTTTCTGTAAATATAGTTATCTCAGCCTCTCTGCACACAACTTGGCCCAGAATATACAGGTAGGATGTCTGTACACAGACGGTATTGGTACCACAGAACAAAGCCAACGCCAGCAACCACGGCTCTCCCTTCCAGGCTCAGCCTCCCTCGCTGTCTGCAGGCCTTGCAGGAGATCTCTGAGGGTCAGGACAGCAGAGCTGCCACCAGGGGGTAGGAGGGCAGGACGGGGACCTGGGGCCAAACCGGCCAACCGTCTTGCTAGGTTAAGAACGTGAGGTAAAGTCTGGAAACAAAAATAGATTCTGTGTTTCTTATTGCTAGACCTCGGAGGCTGGGGCGTTCATCAAAACAGGACTTCCTGTTTAAGACAGATGGCAGGAAGGCCCACCCAGCTCCTAACTGGGGAGGGGAGAGAACAAAGACGGGAAAGCTCGTTTCCAAGGCTACAACCCCTTGTGTTCCAGGATTTCTGTCCCAGACTTAATTCAAAGCAAAAGCAAAGAGCTAGCCAGCTTGGGGGCAGACAAAGGAAGGGGAGTTTGCTCTTCTGCACGCTGTACCCCAAACACTCGTACCCCACGGTGCATACACCTCTTCTTCGCTTCTGGTCTCACGCCACCTCCCCAAAGTGCTGACCCCCACATTCACCTGGAAGAGGGCATTCCCACTAATGTCCACTCCCGGACTGCTGTGGAGTCTCCATCCTGTGGGTTGGTTCTGGCGTTCTTACAACCCTTGCCCTGGATACCCTGCTGTCCCCCCCTCCCCCTTTGTACTTAGGAAGCAAGGTGAACTTGGTGTTGGTGTAGAAAGCTCATCCTAAGCCAAGCCCAGCCATCTGCCAATCCACACTCATCCCCGACTTGTCTCCCAGCCTCTGCTCCACCGAGGCCTGCGTTCACTCCAAGTCCACCCAGAGGCCTGGAGTAAACCGAGACGATGGAAGCTGGGGCTTGATTTCCCCACTGCTAGCCCTCCAGACAGCTTTAGAAAACTCAGACTCCCTTTCTACGCTTGCTGCTCTGCTCAGCTACCCCGGGATTCTGCTCCAGAGAATGCAAAGTGCCAGCCAGCTACGAGACTGAGACCCCGGCTACCCTACGGCGTCCCAGTCATTTCCTCGCTCAGGCTGCAGAACCTTCCATCAAATGGAACGTCCATCTATGCTGTCCATATCTCCTGGGACGGAGTTCTGGAATGCCCTTTGAAACCCCACAGTGACTTCCGGGTCTTCCTCAGCTCCACCAGCTCTGAGGACAGACGAACCATGGTGGGGGGGGTGCTCCCTCCTACCCTGCCTGAGCCAGGCCAGGGCCTTCCTGGCATGAGGCTGGTCTAGGGCAGGGTGGGTCACCTCCTCAAGGACGTGGAGTCCACTTCTGCAGCAGGGCGAGAGAAGCCCTGCTAGGCACTGTCCCTGGTCAGCCTCCTGTTGGTTTGGGACAGCATCTCATGAGGGCAGGGCTTCAGGGGGCTGCCCTGGGAACCGCCTCCCACCACTGCGGGGCACAGGCTCCCTGCAGGCCTGGTGCTGATGGCCATGCCTTTCAAACTGTGAGGTCTGTCAGCAGGCGTGAACCCCAGGCCCTGATCTTGCCCTCCTGGTTGGCGGCAGCCCCCAGGGCATTCCTGATTCCCTGAAGGGGCAGAAGGGGTCTCGCTCACCCCACAGTTCACACAGAAGCTGACTGGGTGAGTTAAACTCACTGCCCTAGAATTGATGCCACCTCATGGCGACCCTGTAGGACAGGGTAGTAGAACAGCCCCTATGGCAGCAGGGGGCGTCCACGCACAAGACCAAGCAAACTCCAGCCAGTGGCCATCCCCAGCCAGGGGCATATGGACAAGTTCCCTCTGGTGGTAAATGCCTACCTGCTGCTAAGCTTAGAGGTGAAGTAAGCCCACTGACTGCCACCTGCCCCACGTAGACCTTGGCCCACTCCGAGCCTGGGCTCCAGCCCCACCAGGACCCTTCTCCCCTGAGGGCCTGACTAGACCCAAGAATGAAAGGGCAGCCCTGTGTCAGGCTAGTGGGCATTTCTAGATGGCACAGGTCTGAGTCCACAGCAGACCACAGGCCAGGCAGGGTGTTCCCCTGAGCTCAGCTGGCTTAGGCAGCATGCAGCTGGGGGAGGAACTGGTCTGGGCTTCCAGAGGTCTGGGGGTACTGGTCCTGCCCCTGTGAGGCTTGGGGATGAGACAGTAATGTGGGGTGGCCACCAGCTCCTGGAGCCAGGCCTGATGGCCACCTGGGAGCAGACATGGTGCTGTGGACACGGTGCTGCAAGGCCCAACCTGAGGGTGTCCTCGTCAAGGGAGTACAGGAACAAGGCGCAGCCCGGTCCTGGGCCAGCACTGCAGTGTGGGCATCAAGGACCCGGACCAAAGAGGATCACAGAGAGGAACGTTCTGGCAAGTTGCAGAGCAAGAGGGTCTGCAATGACCAGAGAATCAGGTCCTGCCTCTCCCCCTTACCCCCTTCGAGCCGTCCTTGACCTTGGGTCAGAGGTCCCTCCTCATGGAGATGAAGGCTGCTTTGCTCTCTGTAAGATCAGCTAGCCAAGCCCCAGCTTTGAACCCTGACTGCTTTGTCACTAGTGGGGTGGCTGCCCCCTCCCCACTGAGGGGCCGCCAGCTCCACTGTGGGTCTGATGAACTCCAATCCCACCTGTATATTTACAGAACAGACTTGCTCAAGCCTGAACTTCCTGGCAGTGCCATAATGAAGCCCTTTGGGAAAGGCAGTCGGCCCCAAGGGCCTGGGCCTGCCAACTCGGGGGTCCATCCAGGTGTACAAGTGCCTGGCTGGGCCTGGCCACAGACGGCAGGTGGACAGCCCCTCCCACAAGGAGCAGCCAGGAAAGTGTGAGAGGATGTCACCTGTCACTATCCTGCAGCTGAGCCCAGTCCTAAAACTCTGCACCTTGGGGGTTAGAACCCGGTCACCAGCTGACCTAAAGTGGCAGCCTATCAGGAGGAAGCACCTTGGGGCACCCAGACACTGCTGGGAAGGGGCCTGGCAAGCCTCCCCCATTTGCTGGCTCCCTCCACCAGAGAGGAGTTTGCCTGTGGATGGTCCACAGTGGTTCTGTCCTGTCAGCATCCTCCCCAACCTGAGCTAACCAGCTGCCAGATACTTGCTAGACTCTGGAATCCAGGGACTTGTTCTGGTCCCCATACAATGCCAACAGCCTGTGTCCAGGGGCACAGGTATCCCCTCCACCCTGCTCTGGCTGTGCTCGGACGGCACTGAGCTTGCCCCTCACAAAGGCCCACGTGATGCCAACAGGAATTGCTGCCCTTTATGCCCACACCCACTGCCGTGTAACCCCTTCTGCCCCTAGGGCTCCGTGGGGCCCTAACCAGAGACCATCGGGGTGATGGGTTTACCTGGAGGCCCAGCCAGCACTGAAGCTCAGGATCCCCCTAGGGGAGGAAAGTCCGGGAATATTGGGCGGCTCTCACCCCTTGGACTTGCTTCCTTCTACCATGTAAAGATGTCAGCTGCCTGTTCCCTCCTCAAGAACATCGGGGTCCCCCTCTTGAGGTTCCCAGCCAAAGGGCTGAAGGGACTCAGATTCAACCCAGACCACAGGAAACAACGTCATTAAGGAACACAAATCCCAAGCTGTCTACAGTGTGGCCATCTGGTCTACCCAGCCTGGAGGCAGAGGTACATTCATCTAAGGCCACGCTGTCTAATCCGAGAACACATCTTGGGGCAGACACTACCCAGATGCCCTTCTGTCCAGCCCAGTGTCCGGAGCCAGGCATCCAGGTGATGCACGTCTTTCACAACTCCCCTGTCTCTCACCGAGTGACGAGGGTCCACTCTTACTCCTGAGGCCAAAAATCAAGGGACAGATTCCAACCACCCACCTCCCCCCAAAGGGAACACAGAGCCAAGGTGGTCTTTTGTTAACCTCCGAGGAAGAGGGGAAAGGAGGAAATTGCAGAAAGTGGCTTTGTTGGGAAGTAGGAAGCGTGTCCCTTTGTGGGAACGTCATAGAAACTGGGGCTACCCGCCGGCCTGCTACTGGCAGCAGGGGTTGTCGATGACCAGCATGACGTCAATGCCGTAGGCCTCCAGCAGGTCCAGCAGGAAGCTGCGGTCTCCCTGGGGGTCGAGGCCCATGCCCCGCGCGTGCTCGGCTGTCAGGGTCTTGTCTTGGCTGGCAGACACCTCCAACAGCGTCTGGAAAATCCGGTTGTTCTGCTCCAGGAAGAACCTGGGAGGGTGGGAGACCAGGAGGCAGACAAAAGCGCGTCCACACCCAGGGAGGTGGCCACCACTCTCCCCAGTGCTCCAATAGCATCCAAACAGTTCAAGATGGAAGAAAACCGATACCAGGATGCCCTTGCCTTCCCGGAGACACCCCCAGCTCCTTCCACTGCCGGGGTGCCCCTAGTTCCCCTCACACACACCTAGGCACCCCCCAACTACTCTTGGTGAATGTCCCTAGTTCCCCAGGCACCCAGTGCTGGGCTGCCCTGGCTCCCAGGTCCCAGCAGCACCTCAGGCTTTGGGTGAGCAGAGTCTGGGCAGCAGCCAGGGCAGGGACCCTGAACTATGCCAGGGTGAGGGGTGGGGGCAGCAGGGAGGGTCAGGCTCCCAGTCCCTCACTCACAGCACAAAGAGGTCCTCTTCGCAGGGGTTGTAGTTTCCCTCCACTTCCTGGGAGTACAGCAGCATCTGCCTGGGGGGCAGGGGGCAGTGAGGAGACTTTAGGCCCACCAGGCTCCCCCGGGGTCAGGAAGCTGCACGCACAGATAGGACCCCACACCATCCAGAGAGGAAGGGGGGTGCAGGGCTTGGAGCTGACCCATCCCTTAGTCTTTCCTGCTGTGGGGACCACGAGAACAGCCTGTGGCCCCAGGACAGCCCACTTCCTGGGCCTGGCGGAGGGTGCATGGGGGGAGCTGGCACTTGGTGAGTATCTACGCAGGGCTGTCCATACGCCCACTGCTCTCAGAGTCCCAGGTCCCTGAGCAGGGGTCATCTCACATCCCTCCTCGTCCCCGTGTCCAATGCCATGCGGCAGGGATGTCCAGGTCCTGGCCCCAGCACAGAACCGGCTCAGAGGCCACACTGCCCCTGCTGAGTTCCCAAGGCAGGGGTGTCCTGGTCCCAACCTAGAAGACAGGCTCAGAGACCCTGCTGTCCCCACTGGGTGACCATGCATGGATGTCCTAATCTGAGCCTAGTCCTCAGAGTCCCAGGTCCCCACCCAGCGCTGAGTGGCAGGGTTGTCCTGGTCCCCGGCAGCCGGGACAGATTCAGGGGCAAGCAGTCCCACCTCTGTTCCGTGAGCCGCCTATACTTCTCCCTATCGGCGCTGTTTATCTTCAGCAGGGGTTGCAGGTGCTCATGGTGTGTCTTCACGTTCTGGTTGTCCACGTACACGTCATACAGCTCGCGCTTCTCCTCAAAAACCTTCTCGGTAGTGCCTGGGGGTGTGGGCGTGTGGGTGGGCGCAGGGCCACTGGCCTCCTGCGGGTGTCAACAACCAGGGCCGGGGCCTGACCCCCCCCAGGGCCAGCAGGTGGAGGGGAGTAGGCCAGACCCTGGAGATGAAGGTGGGGGCGCGGAAGGCGGCACCGGCCCCACCCTAGGGGACAATAATGGAGGGACTCAGGCCAGACTCCTGAAGGTCTAGGCAGGACAGGCAGAGAAGGGTGGGAATGAGGCAGCACGGGGGCGGGGCCTATGCTGTGCAGGGGCTGGCTGGAGGTGGGGTGTGGCCGAGGCAGTGAGGAGGCGGGGCCAAGGCCTGGGGTAGAGGCGGGACTGGGAAGAGACCTGGTGGGGTCAAGGCAGCACGTGGGTGAAGGCGGTGGGTAAAGGCGATGCGGGGACAGGCAGCACATAGGCTGGGCAGAGGCGGGCAGGGGGCATGTGGGGACTGGGGACTGGTGGTTGCACTCACAGGCCACGTAGGACACCTCCACCTCCAGGCTGTCGATGTCGGCCACGTTCACATAGAAGAAGGGCTTAGACTCTGGGATGGTGCCCCCGATGCCGGGCAGAGAGACGTTGGCCAGGCAGCAGCAGCAGTACACTGGGGACAGCAGGGATAGTGGGAACAGGCTCAGCTAGCCCCCGCCTTCGGCCCAGCAGCTCATCCCGCCTCCCAGGCTGCGCCTGACACCTGAGTCACCACCCCATGTCCTGCTTTCTGAGGCTATGGGGGACTCTTGGGGTCCACATGGTCCCCACGTCACCATTAAGCGCCAAGTGCAGGAGGCTTGTGTGCAGGCCATCTCTGAATCTGACCCTGTGGATCCTTGTCCCCCACCCCCACAAACAAATCTTTGGGCTCCACCCCCGCCTGGTCCTCTCTGCCCCGCCTGCTGGGTGATTGGATGGCAAGGGCAGCCCCTGCTCAGGCAGTGTCCCCAGCCATCAGTACCACCCCCACACACCCCAGCTTCCCCCTCCTGCTCTACCCCCTAACCCCCAACATCATCAGTACCACCCACCCTGGAGCAACCCCAATGTCCCAACCACGCATGGCTCAGCCTCCTCCGCCCTGCTCCCCCCTCCCACCCCCACCCAACCCCGGGCTCTTCCTCCACTCCACTTTTGGCCCAGAAGACACAGGTGTTCACCTTGGCCCATCAGACACAGCTCTTCCGGACACCCGAACAAAGCCAGCCCCCATCTGCCACCAGACCTCCCCGGGGCAAGCCAGCCAGCCTGGAAAGCACCCCAGGGAGGGTGGGCAGGCACTGGTTACCTCGGTAACACACCACGCCCACGGGCGGTGGGGAGAAGATGAGGATCCGCTTCCGCAGGAGTGCAAACTTCCAGAGCGTGAGGATCTGCTCGCCGAAGAACTTGATGAACTGCGACATGCAGCCGGCCGGGTGTGTGATCTGCAGCGCGGACATGGGGCCCGGGAGGAGGGGTGACCCGAGACGCACACCACAGAGAGCGCCCCAAGTGTCCCTTCGAGTCAACTGCGGCTCGTCTCACTCTGCCAATGAATGGATGCCGCCTCACTGGGAACCTGCAGGGCAGGCTCGAACTGCCCTGTGGGTTTCCGAGGCCCTAACCCTTTACAGGAGAAGTAGTCTTACCATTCTCCCATGTGGGGAGAAGTCAGACACTTGCTGCCAGACTGCTGTCTCATCCCACAGCAGGGCTGGGCCTGCTTCCTGCTGCTGGGGACAATGGCCTACTTCTCTCTGAAGCTTTGGGACCATTAGCTTGGTTCCTCTAGGTGGGGTTTGCACCCTACTGATAATGTTCCTATGGAGACCCAGAGACCAACCCCTAGACCACCCACTCATTGCTGTGTAACCTATAGTGCAGCCCCTTCCTGTGACGTATGTCTTTACCTGTAATTAGTGGGCTGGATTGCCCCCAAAAGGTATATAGGTGTGAGTCAGCGGAACTTCTCTCTCTGACTCTCTCTGACCCTGAGCTCCTTGCTGCTCACTCCCTGGTCACTCCCCTCTCCCTTGTTCCCCTTCCCTCCTTCCCTTCCCCCTCTCTCCACGTGGACCACCAAGCTGGGCTGAGGTGAGCAATGCTACCATAAAATGTGTCTGACTGTTTCATTGTATTATCTCTCATGCTCTCGATGACTTTAATATAATGCTTATATATCTCAACCGTACAATTGTGCATTACTGAACCCAGAGGTAGTATTACTGAACCAGTGAGTTCAAGCAGCGGGTGGGGGCTGGCCCCTTCACCCTCCCAAGCGTCATTTATTATTTTATTTAATACTACACTCCCAGGAGTGGCAGGTGGTTTCGAACTGCTGACCTCGTGATTAGCAGAACAGTGCACCAAGGGTGTCTCTTCTCACAGCAAGGTTTCCAAGACTTAACTCTGCACTAGAGCAGCCTTGTCTGTCTTTCCCGCACAGAACAGCAGCTGGCATTAGCAGCCCCCGTCTAACCATCGGTGTCAGTTGGGCATACAGAAACACAACAGTGTGGTGGGTTATGTGGTGGGGAGCAATCCACAAGGTCGGCAGTTCAAAACCACCAGATGATCCAAGGGAAACAGATGGGGCTTTCTACTCCTGTAAACAGTTACAGTCTCAGCAGTTCTACCCTGCCTGCAGGGTCGCTGTGAGCTGGCATGGACTGAGTGGCAGTGAGGTTGGTTTGAGTGATTTGGCGTAGTGGGTTAAGCACGTGGTCATCAGGGTCATGAGGGGAACTGCACATAATGCAGGCCCCCCTGTCACACTTGGTGGCCCCGGTGCATTTTACAAATGGGAGGTTGGTGGCTACGTCGGGGCCCTGCGCCTGTCTGTCTTGCTCATTCTCATAGAATGGCAAACTTTTCACGTGGCTGCTCCACTCTCCAGAATGCAAGCCTAACTTCTAGGAACCCGGGGAGCCAGGGACACCGTGACTGGCTGTGCCTCGGGGGTCTGGACTGAACCCGCTATCCCCAAGGTGTGTCTGTTCTCAGCCGCTGCCACTGTCCCCGAAGGAACAGGAAGCCTGCAAGCTCAGTGCCACATGATCTTTGGCAAGTCACGCTGCCATCCCCACCTGGGGCACAGGTGGGACTGCTGGAGAAAGTCCAGGCAAAGCTGTGTGCAGGGATTGCCCAGCAGGAGGCACTGGACGCTGAGCCTGGAAGACCAGTCTGGAAAGGTGGGGTGGCCCTGGGACTGGTATCTGCACCTCAACTTCCCAACTTCCACCCAAGGCACCTCCCCAGGGGTCTACCTCAGCCCCACTCTTCTCTGGGCAGCCCTGGGAGCCCCAATGTGTCAGCTGGCCGAGCTGGGAGGGAGGAGACCAGGGCGAACTGCCCATCCTCACTCACAAGGATGCCTCAACAATCGTCCTTGGCCAGGTGTTTTGTCAAAAGTGAGCAAACATGTCCTTGAACCAAAGACAGGCGATTAGGGAAAAACATACCATGAAGTAATGCAGGAAAGACCCTCGCTAAGCGAATGCCGAACCTGTGCCTCAAAGGCCTCCTCTCTGGTCCACCTGTGCAGCTTCGGTGAGCTGAAGCGAACACACTGGCAAGTCCACCTCCCCTGCGACCCCATCACTGCCCGCCAGCCCTTTAAACACAAAGAGGGCGGGCTGCGGTGTGCCCGGCTCTAGAAACACGTTACTGAAGAGGACATGGCTGGTGCCAGACGGGAGGCCAACGTGATTGTCCTGGATCTCACATTCTGAGCACCCCGAATTGCAAAAGGCTCTGGAAGGCATTGACAGCCCAGAACCCATCTACAGGGGCCCCACATAGACTACACCTCCAGGGAATTCTTTCGGATGTTGAACCAAGGGTGTGGCTAACCTTGCCTCTGGGCAGGGTGCCTTGGAAAGTAGCTTCCCTCCAAGGCTCTCTGGCCAGCCCAGGGAGGGGCTTGCCTAGTGTGCCCTTGATGGAGGTCCCTGCACTGGGGACAGGACAGGGGGTGGCATGGCCATGAGTCACACCCTATCAGTGTCCCCCTGACTGTGGTGGTTGGAAGCCCTGGACCAATCTTGTGAGCCCTTCTAGCTACCATAACGTGTGTGTCCCCATCATGGGCCTGCTCCTGCTCCTGTGGGCCCCCTGTAACTGTGACGCCATGAAGTTGTGACAGGTCCTTTTGTTCTGTGGTGTTAACAGCCTCCCTCCTCCGGCAGGATTAATGTGTCTGTGTGTCTTTGCCTCTTTTAAGACTTCATAAATGTTCTCCTTAAATTATATTTGAGATGGGGCTCTCTTTTGTGCCCTAAACCACAGTGTTTCATCATCCTAGTCTGTGAAAGGCAGAGCCCCTGCACACTCTCCTTAAGAATCAGCCCAGGGCATGCTGGGAGAGCAGATGGCCTCACCTTCATCTCCGGGTACATGTACCGGTGGATGGAGGGCAGCCAGTAGACGGGTGGCAGGCGGTCACCTCTCCCCGGACCTGCATGGAGCTCCCCCTTCTTGTCCTCATAGAACGCAGCCAGATGAGAGTAGTGGCCTGGCATCTCCAGCTGGTGCCTGCACAGCACACGCACACACAGTGAGAACACCATTGGCATTCATGCCCCACCTCCAGTCACACCATCCAGGGTCAGGGCCCCTGTACACTAACACCCTGTGGATCTGCCTTTGGTGCTATAGAAGGCCCTTAGGCAAAGCTTGTATGTGGGCCCGGCACCCCCGGGGCATCGCGTCACTGTCCCTTCTCAAGGGAACCAGGCAGAATGAGCAGAATGTGAGGGGCATTGATTGTTAACAAGGTACTGGCATGGATGCCAGCCGGGGAATGGCTGCTGGCTGGGGAAGGAGCGGGAAGCCTCCGCTGGTCGGGATGGTGATTGTTTGCCCTCTCTATTGTCAGAAAGGAGGAAAGAGAAGTGGCCTCCCCCTCCCCCAGTTCAGGAAAATTAGCTCTGATGGGTGGTCATCACCCAGGGTCCCAAGTACCACGCGAACAGCAAGCAGCAGCTCGCCTTCAGATCCTCCTACACCCAGCGCCCATGGTCACCCAACAGTGCAAACATCCCCCACTGGCTGCTACACAATGGCCTGTGCACGCAGTGGACTATCATCACGCAGCGAGCGAGCGAAACGAAACCCTGACCCACATGCACGGGAGGCTGAGTGAAAGAGGCCCGTTGTAACACAGGACAAGCTCCGTCTGACGTGCTTGGGGGTAGTTTTCCCATAGTGGGTCCTGAGCTTCTGCTAGAGGTGGTGGAATCATTTGGAAATGGAGGGTGGGGGTGGATGTCCACCGTGGTGACCAGGTCACCGAACGGTCGCTGTTAGGTGCGGTGGGTTTGGACACATAGTGACCCTGCACAGAACAGAAGGAAACACTGCCGGGCGGAGAAGTACTGACACGAGGCTGAGGTCCCTGGAAGAAGCATGGAGCTTACAGGTGATGGGAAAGCAGACCTTGCTGGCGTGCTCCCCGAGGAGATGGGTGGCCGAGAAACTCACACTTCCCACCTCGAAAGCTAGAGGGAAAATAACTTGCTCGGTCCATGCTGCTGACCCAAACCCATGTGCTTCGGGCTCAGCTCGAGAGTGCTCTGCAGGATCAGAGACTGGGGCTTCCCAGCAAACCCACCAGCCCCCTTCAGGGGAAAGACTCAAGTTCACAAGGACTTCGCTTTCCTGCGATCCACAACCAACGTTTCATGGTCGACTTAGTGCAATGGGAAAATATGCTGCCTATTACCCTTCAAAGGGCTCAAGGGCAAAGATGTCCCTCGGAGGCCTAAGGTGTGCCTGACTCCGCTGTGGTGTTCTCAGGTGCCACAGGGGTATCTGTGTGGCACTTGGGCAGTGAATCCGGAAGGACTACACAGAGTGGACGCATGTGAATGACGGTGTCTGTGAAGAATAGTCCGAGGACCTTGGACTGCCAGAAGAACAAACCAATCCATCTGGAAGAAGTCCAGCCTGAATGGTGGGTGGTCCCTTGTCTCACATACTTGCCAAGGACTGGCCCTGTGTGGCAGTTACATCATCTGTTGTCAATCTGAGACTTAAGAGTGAAGGAGTGGAGTTTAGCCTGTCAATCAGGTCACAGCTTGATGACCTCATTTGGAGGTGCTAAGGAGATAAATACCTCACTGGAGGTGGGACACATGCTAATTCTCTGCAAGACATTCCTGTTGAGAAGACACATGGAGCTACCTAGAGCCCTGGAGCTGGAGGAGCCATGTGGAGACCCCTGTCAGTGCTGAGATGATTCCACTGCCACTGGACCCACAAGTCTTTCTTCCCACTGGCCTGTGATCTTCCTGCACTCGACATCATTGCATGTGCTGTGTGAGTCTGAAGAAGGATTTATAGACTGGTGATGGCATATGGGACAATATCGGATGTATGGACTGGGCTGGGATGTTTTCATAATGTACAATTAATTACGCTTTGATTGAAAGTTCTCTCTGACACACATCTGAGTGTGTCTGTGAATTTGCTTCTCTGGTCTACCCAGACTAACACAGGCCCTAGGAAAAGACCTGGTTGCTTGGTGGGCGCAGCAATACGCTCGCACAGGGCCGTGGCTGTAAGGCTGGCGAAGGGCCGGCAGTGTTTCCTTCTTGGTCCACAGGGCCGTGGTGAGTGAGCCGCAGCCAACTCAAGGACACCCAGAGACAGGAGGCCTGGGCAGGGCGAGGGAATCCCTCTGTGCTGACAAGCTGCCGAGGCTGTGGTCTGTTGCCGCAGCGGGCATGGGAAAGTTGGGACAGTGATTGTGCTGGTGTCCCTCATAACACCCCTCACTGCCCTCTCCACTGCCGCCTCCCCATCCCTGAGCTGGTGATGCCGGACGGAGACCCGGGGCATCCAGTGCTGCCCCAAGCTGTCTCTCTTCCAGCTCTGCGAAGGCCGCAAACAGAAAATAGCTTTGTGGGTACAGAACAGGCCTGTTCTCACCCCTCCTGTGGGCTTGGGGATGGGGCCTCTCCTTTGTTCTTCCTCCCTGAGCTGTCCTTGCAGTACCACCTTCTGCTCTCTGGGGGGCACTGTTGCTAGGCTGCCAAGGCCCAGGAGTGCAATGGTGCCAGAAGCCCACAGCTTCTGGGCCTGGGTCACGCCTTTTCTCCAACAACCCCGACTGCCCAGCCTGTCTGTCCCTTGACCTGGGCCACCTGGCCCAAAGGTGACAGGGTGCAGGTGAAAGGATGCTGCTCTAGGGTCCTGCACCTGTCTGTTTCCTTGCTCCTGGGCGGGAAGAAACATCACCCCCCTCCGCTCCTCAGTAAGGGAGGTAGAAAATCGCTTAAGAACAGCGAGTGCTTATGAGAATGAAGGCCTCAAGCTTTGCTAGAGACTGAGGGGGAAGAGTCCAGGGCACATCCTCCTCTCAGGGGGTCAGGGAACAGATGCAGGGAGATGGGACTCCCAGTCTGATTGCCTCTGGATGACCAGCGCAGGGAGGCAGGGAGGGAAGGAGAGCAGATGGAGACTCCGGCGGCGGCAGAACTTTGGTGAGCCCGTGGGAAAGGGCATGAGACGGGAGCTCCCACGCCGTGCTGGGCGGGCACAGGATGGCACCCCCTTTCCAGGGGACCCTGCAGATACCCTGTGCCCCAGAGAACGGTGCATGGACCATAGCACGCACTTCCCCACAAGGTTGCTGAGGTTGCCGGTGGTGGAAATGCCCAAAAAAGAGTCCAATGACACAGAGGCGTCCACCAAACTGAAAAGTGGAAAAGCAGCGGCCGCCAGTCCCGGGTCGCAGCCACCTACCGCACTTGGTTCTCCAGGAAGTGCATGTAGCGGTAGAGCAGGGTGTAGGAGGGGGACAGGATGCCCACGGACTTCATGCGGGCGCCGCGCTCCAGCTCGCTCTCCACCGGCATGTTGGCGAAGCAGGCCAGGCCGAAGAAGGGCCCCTTCCGGAAATAGCTGGAAAGAAGCCAACACAGAGTGTGTCTCAAAGGCTGGGAGAGATGTGCTGCCTGGATCTAGAGACACAGCCCCAAACCCAGCCAGAACTCGGGCCTGGGGCTCCCATGCCACTCGAGGCTCAGCCTTAAGACAAATATTTTGGGATCCTTAAAGCCCTATTTAGCCTAAGTCAACCCAGCGGCATCACCCAGTGTGGTAACTCAGTGTGGTCCCCTCCCCCGTACCAGACCATCCTAAGAATCCTTATACTATTTTTGACCCATCTTGACCACAAAAAATACCATGTGATGAGATAGAGTTTTAAGTGGCTCAAATGTAGCGTTTCCTGGATCATAGGACCGCTAACAGAATTGGTTTGTGAACTCTTTGGATGCTGGACAACATTATTTGTGGCATCAATAATGAACCTCCCGAGGGACAGTCCTTATATTGCTCCTTCTTTTCCTACTTCCTTCTCTGAAGTTACCAACGTAGATTCAGAGATGCCACTGGCCGCCCTGCTGCTACCACCACACCTGGACCAGCCACGGAAGCAACAACGCATGCTTGCTGTGAGTGATTGGAAACATCGGTGCTGACCAGCCCCCGCGACAAGTTTCAAAACATAAAGTATCCTAATAATACCCTTTTGAGACTCAACGGTTGATTACCCTAAGGGGTGCACAGGCTCAGTGTTGTTACTGCAGCCTATCATTTGGCTTTGAGTCCAGGTCCAGAACTGAAGGACGACAGAAGGGCCATCGTCTCAAGGGCCACCGATCTCTATCTGACCAGGAAGCCTGGTCTCTATTACGATGCAGACCTCTGGCCTCCTAGTTTGTTCCCCTCTGTTCAGGGCCTGGAGAAGCAACCCTTTTTTGGAACAGATGGTAGCTGGGCACCATCTAGCTCTTCTGGTCTCTGTTTTAGCCGTTATAACTCTGAGTTGTCTTCTGAGTCCCACAATGGAGGCAACCACCTCTAGGGCACAAAAGAAAGATGTGGCAGACTTCTGTCTAAGGCTTACTGCCATGGGAACTTATGCTGGGGTTCTCCCCGTCCTATGGAATCTCCATGAATGCAAATTGAATAGATGGCAGCAGGATTTTTTTTTTCTAATCATTTTATTAGGGGCTCATACAACTCTTATCACAATCCATACATACATCAATTGTGTAAAACACATTTGTACATTCATTGCCCTC